GAACATTTTCTCTTGAATTGCCTATAATATTTTCGAGTGCAAACAACGAGCATTAGCGATCTTTTTTCACAAAGCAATCGATAACTTTTTTCAATCTTTCATAAATAAGTCGCCCTTTTACCTGGATTTTTCAAAGGGCAGCTTACTTTCTCACAGCCAGACTTTGGAAGGAGAAGGGAATGTAGCCATATGGGAATGTGAGTTCATTCGTTCAGGTGGTTGAGCTGGCACGTCAATCGTTGGCTGATTTCGACGCATCTGGAGATTCAGCAGTGATTCAGGGTACACGTTCCGGCAGTGATCGCGCAAGAAAGAGGAAACTGGAGGAAGATACGAAAGAGTACGGTTTTAAGTTCCCTATCATTGAGTGTTTATTCATATAAGGTGGTGGAGCGCCAGGTAATTCTGAGATCGTTGTACCTAGAGATGCCTCCATATATCAATAGAACTGTGAGTACTGCAAGCAAAACTATCAGTGTCTGAGCACGTTCGGTATGCGACGCGCTATAGACATCTTTCCAGTTCTCTTTATATTTTCAAACATGTGACAAGAACAACTTGCAATATTGCACACTTCTATCAATGAGCAGGAATAAGGGCGCTATTGGGCTGGGAGGGGACATTTTGCACTTTCGCCTGTTCCTCTTATTAGTTACATGTTATTAGTAGTTTAACACCTGTAAACTCTTGAGGAACTGCGGAATGATGCCTGTGAGCCACTTTGGTTGCAGGATTTCAGTGGCTTTCACGAGGTGGCTTGTACAAGTCTCGCTGAGTACCAGTTGGTGCCCTTACCAGCCGCCCTGCGCCTGCCAGTTTTTCACAATATCATAGTAGAAGACGTTCTGTGCATGTAAATAAAACCTTGATGGAATTCGACACTTTCAATAATTTGGAGTCCTAGCTGCAGTTGTAGGGCTGCGGCAGGTTCGCGCTTTGCGTTTTGCTGGAATACTCTTGGTTTTGACGAAAATTCTGCTGAGATACATTTCTTAAACGCCCGTTGTCATTTCAAAGAGCCCTTGTACGGATTTCCATAATATAACTGTATGACCTCCTTGGGGTATCACGTGCGCTGCGACCGTGTGCAGTGATTGATGGGCGCAAGAGATTATCAGCGATCACTAAGGCAGCGTTCAGACTTCGCGACGGTAGCGCGTTGGGCGCGATCGATGCGCATGCTTTCGACTGCATCGATCGCGTCGAACGCGCGACCGAAGCGCTGCCGTCGCGAAGTCTGAACGCTGCCTAAGCATGTTTCCGTAGAAGGCGGATGATTTCCTGGTACGGCAGGAAGGTGGCACATAATCCGACCTATTTCGAATGGACATTTCCACTATTCTTGAAGCAGGTTCTTTTCCATAGGTAATTCAGCATGATTTTTTTGATTTTTTTTCAATCAGTGAACATGAAAATCCTTCGCAGTGTTGGAAAATCGAGCAAGTGAGAATGTTGAGGGGAGAGGGTCGAAATGTAAGAGGTAGCTCAGCTTTCGTTCCGTACGTGCCGTTAGACGGAAGCCGAGCAGAAGCCGAGGTCTAGCGGCAGGTATGAAACGGAAGCTGAGCAGAAGCGGGGGCGAAGAAGCTCTAAAGAAAAGGTAGTTTCGCCTATGCCCAAATTCGAGGCAGTTTCTACAATGCCTAAATCAAAGTTATTATGTATTGTGGTGCAGTGTGCCACAGCCAATGCGTTTAGGATTCCCCTCGTTATCTGCTCTATTATGACCTTTGAAGACTAAAAAATTTACGTCCAACTAACGCTCTCGTGTGGCAGCGGACTTTCTCCGCGCAAACGGTGGAACCGTTGGCCTCTGAAGACGACGAACCAGTCGAAACGTTAGGCCTAATTAATAAATGTTCCACCTAACAACCTCGTAAGGCAGAAGAAATTAACACTTAAAAAATTTACTTTTTGCCCAAGGTCTGTGTACTAGCGCAGATTCCGCCGGAAATTTGTCTTTGAAGAAGTTTGATCCCTTCAACATTAAATTCCTTCAGCTTGAAACGTTGAAACACCTGGAGCTGGAGCTCAAGTTACAGGAGACCTCAAAAATACCAAACCAAACTT